ATTGTCCCACCCTGGATTTGTCAGCTGTGTCTGATTGCTGCATTCGGGCATGTTTCATCTGGCCCTTTAGCTTGTCAGCCTCACGTCTTTTCCTTTTCTGAGGACAGAAAATGCAGCTGGGACTCAGCAAACACCAATTAGTTCAGGCTGAATTGAACTGTGCTTCCCTGGGTAGCTCTTGAATGGTCAGCTTGGATCACAGTGGTCCAGTCACAAAAGGGAAACTATCTATTACTTTGGTAACAGTGAAAAAACATACGAGTAAGAAGCCCTCTTAGTTTATTACCAATAAGATGAAATATCTCTAAACTTAAATCCATCTAGTAAATAGTATTTATTGTGACTACCCAACATCTATTATATTGACAAATATCTCATTTTTCTGATCAAACCAGAATCATAAAGTAGATAATTCAGGCCCCAAAGTTCATTATTTAGGGTAAGTTTTCTAAAACTATCTATTGTTATCTGTTAATTAGGTAACTGCTTTATCTCCATGGAGCTTTTGAAATCTTTACTAAGTACTTCAGCCCATACTGTTTCTCTCTGATCTGATCTCATGTAATTCATTTGACTTGAATCCCTCATTTTGACATTGAATTATATGTAATTGCATCTGCGGTATATTTTTTATTTTGCATGCTCTAGTAGATGGCAAGTACTGCATCTTGTGTCTATTTCATATCTCCAGTATCACCTACCACTGAGATAGAATACATTGTGTTTAATGTTTAGTTTTTGAATTAAAATAAATAGTAAACAGGGGACAAATTGTATGGATTTTTGTATCTTTTTTGAAGCCTACACAGAATATTTGACTCCTCTCATTTGATTGCAAGCTCCTCAAGGGCTCTCTATCTATTCAAAATATAATTTTCCTTAATTCCAAAGCAGTATCATTCAAGTATTGTTTAATAAATATTCATAGCCTGTGATGACTGTGGTTTAAGATGAGGGAATATGTAAAGATAACACATATAAATAAATAAATAAATAAATAAATAATAAAACAGTCCAACATGGCAGGATCTTATTTTAAGGAGATCTTTAAATCTTCAGAAATTTCCCAACTATATCATTATAGTGTGACAGAAGATGTAGCATTTTTCTGTTTTCTAACAAATATACTTATTTGTGCTCTCCTTCCTTCTCAAATACTAGAGCTGCAGTAAACAGTAGACTTAAGGGTAATACCATCCTTTCCCTTTCATTGACTTTCTTCACAGAAATAAGAATAGTGCTTGGTCGGACGAAAACATGTGACAGCATGCGCCAACCAACCTCATAGGAAACTCAGCTCGAAGACATTCATTTCTGCTCTCAATTAAAGAATGTAACTGTCACGAGAGCATACTTTTCTCTCTCTTTTGTTCACTGTTTATTTCCAGCACCTAGAAGAGCATCTGGTGCACACCAAATGCTCAATCAATATGTAATAAAGGAATTATGTCATTTCCTTTCTAAAAATGTTCAATGGGGTATCTGACCTACTTCCTAAGGGAGATTATTTGGGATCCTTAGGCTGAGGTTTAAGGCTCTCTTTATTCTGCATTTTTCAATATTCATTGATGCTTCTCTGCTACACAATCCCACTCTCGGACCCAAGCTTAGCTCCAAACATTTTCTCAAATTCTCACAAACATTTTTGCCAATGAACCACTGCTCAGTTTGTTCTCTTTGTTTAGAATGTTTATCAAGCTCTCAACTGAGTCAAATCAATACAACACACATTTCAAGAATCAGCTCTACCCTGATCACCTGCCTGCCTGGTCATCCCTAACCACTAGCCTGCCTGCCTGGTCATCCCCACACTACCAAATGTCCCTGGAGGACAAAATTACACTGGTGAGAACCAAGGATCTAAAACAGTCTTTCCCTGGCTGGTGTGGCTCAGTTGGTTGAGCATCATCCCATGCACCAAAATGTAACTGGTTTAATTCCTGATCAGAGCACCTACAGATTTTGTATCATAAAAATGCACACTTGAAACTTAAAAGGAAAAATTAAATAAATAAATAAATAAATAAATAAATAAATAATAAAACAGTCCAACATGGCAGGATCTTATTTTAAGGAGATCTTTAAATCTTCAGAAATTTCCCAACTATATCATTATAGTGTGACAGAAGATGTAGCATTTTTCTGTTTTCTAACAAATATACTTATTTGTGCTCTCCTTCCTTCTCAAATACTAGAGCTGCAGTAAACAGTAGACTTAAGGGTAATACCATCCTTTCCCTTTCCTTGACTTCACAGAAATAAGAATAGTGCTTGGTCGGATGGAAACATGTGACAGCATGCGTCAACCAACCCCATAGGAAACTCAGCTTGAAGACATTCATTTCTGCTCTCAATTGGAAGAATGTAACTATCACGAGAGCACACTTTTCTCTCTCTTTTGTTCACTGTTTATTTCCAGCACCTAGAAGAGCATCTGGTGCACACCAAATGCTCAATCAATATGTAATAAAGGAATTATGTCATTTCCTTTCTAAAAATGTTCAATGGGGTATCTGACCTACTTCCTAAGGGAGATTATTTGGGATCCTTAGGCTGAGGTTTAAGGCTCTCTTTATTCTGCATTTTTCAATATTCATTGATGCTTCTCTGCTACACAATCCCACTCTCGGACCCAAGCTTAGCTCCAAACATTTTCTCAAATTCTCACAAACATTTTTGCCAATGAACCACTGCTCAGTTTGTTCTCTTTGTTTAGAATGTTTATCAAGCTCTCAACTGAGTCAAATCAATACAACACACATTTCAAGAATCAGCTCTACCCTGATCACCTGCCTGCCTGGTCATCCCTAACCACTAGCCTGCCTGCCTGGTCATCCCTAACCACTCGCCTGCCTACCTTATTTCATCTCTCTCAGGTAACATCTGAGTCCATAAACTCGGGGACTTTTCTTTGCTCAAAGCCTAAGACTTACTGGTCTGTACCTCACCTTGTGCATTTTAATCCTATAAGATGCAACACCTCTCACTTTATGATTTTGAGTTATCATTTCCATGTATGCATGTCATCTCTATCCAAGTACACTGCAACTTTTTAGAAGGCAGGAACAAATGATCATGTTTTAAAATAATATAGAATCTATTAATGATAGCTACATAATGAAGGTACATTGTTTTCATTAATTCTTTTATTCATTCATCTATTCAACTAGTATTTTTTTACTGGCCTACTCTGTGCTAGACATGTGCTAGGATGTAAAACAAATATGCTCCCTGTTTTCATGAAGTGTTTAGACCAGTTGGAGAAAACATGATATCTAATGTGGCGAGAACTAGATTTAGCATCAGAAGACATTGGTATGAATACTAACTTGGCCACTTACTAGTCATGTGACCATTTATGCTCTCAGCATCTTAGTGTCCCCATCTGGAAAATGGGAATGATAACACTTGTTCTGTCTGGCTATCAGAATAAAGAAGATCACACCACATTGTATTTTATGTGCAAACATTTTCTAAGTGACTGAACATGGTGGTTTTAATTTGTTCACAAATTCTTTGATACAGTCCCTTCAACAAGTGGAGCCTAATTCTCCTCTTCTTCCAGAAAAAGCCACTGTGGTGGGAGCCTAGGCAGAGGTGATTAGGGGCAATCAGACAGGCAGGTGAGCAGTTAGGGGCTATCAGGCAGGCAGGCAATCAGGCAGGCAGGCAGAGTGGGTAGGGGTGATGAGGCAGGCATGCAGAGTGGTTATGATCAGGCAGGCAGGCAGACAAGTGCTTAGGGGTGATCAGGCAGGCAGGTAGAGGCAGTTAGGGGCGGTCAGGCAAGCAGGTGATCAGGTAGGCAGGCAGAGTGGTTAGGGGCAATCAGGCAGACAGGCAGGCAAGCAGTTAGGAGCCAGCAGTCTCAGATTGCTAGAGGTTGCAGGCCAGGCTGAGGGAACCCCCTCCCCCCAACCCCCGTGCACAAATTTCATCCACTGGGCCTCTAGTGTTATATAAGTTGCTAAATTTTGGGGTGATTTGTTATGAAGCAATAGACACCCACAGAGTACTGTACAGATTTAAAGTATTATTTCGAATATGCTATTATTTGTTAAATGAAGCATATCAAAATCTATAATGGTTTATTTCTGAATGATGAATTAGAAGTGAAAGAAAAAGAAACTTTAAAAGGAAAATGGCAAAACCTTAAGAACTAGAAAAAAATCACATGAATGTAAACTTTCTGATTTGCAGGTAGTGCTCACTCTGCCTCGCTCTTTACTTTCTGAGAGGTATCAACCTGTGACAGTGGCTGCAAGCTATCTGCCAAAGGCTACAGGCAGGAATTGTTCATCCCTACTGACCGCTTTTGTTTCATTCCATTTTCAGTTCTCATTTTGAGCTAAAATTAATAGTTTGAATTAAATAAGAATGAAAACTTTACTTCTACTCTTCATAGAATATATCTATTTTTGTATTAGAGATAGTCACCACAGTTCTTTGTTAAATACAAAGGACATGGACATAGAAATTTATAATTTGTTTGCCAACTTCGGAAAGTCAGTGTTATTTCTTTGCTGTAGAAACAGTAACCCAGCCTGATCTCCATTATTAATAATGTCCTGTGAGGCTGAATTCATAGTCCTAACTAATCAACTTGGTCAAAATTAATTTGAACCAGGACAAATTTAAATTTAAAATTTTATCTACCTACCTCTGGTCCACAGAATTTCTGTTTACAACCAATTTCTTAAACATCCCACTTAGACGGAGGAGGGCTGTCAATTTATTAACCTACTTAATAATATAATACAAAATTTAATTTCTCACTGAATATTTATTCACCCTGGTTTTCCTAGGATTTTAAGTGAAGGACTTTGGAAGTGCTAACTCTTGGAAACCTCGAAAATAGTACTTATATGTTTATCTGAAATATCATAGATTAGAAAAGCTCATTAATGACACAAATGTTTTGAAATTTTTTTCTTTATGAGTATGATTCCTTAAAGGATTAATAGGACATGGAAATTAAAACAGTGTGAAAATATTCTTACCTGTGGGAGATACGTTGTTGGCTGGAGAAGGTTGGGTGCCAAGGGTAGATTCTGTAATACCTAGTGCAGAATCTGTCGGAGGGTTTACTGAGCCTGAAAGGACAAAGCAGAAATTTATAATGAATAAAAGTACTATAATAGAAAGATAAAGTATTGACTTAGTCTCCCCCGCCCCAACTTTGTTTATTCATGTAACAAATCATTATTGAGGCCTTTTAACAGGCAAGGCAGTGGTACAAAATGGCAAATAACAGAGGCCTGGGGTTGTCTTTAAAAAGCATACAGCCTAGAGGATAGGTGGGGAGCCAGGCACTGTGTTGATGCTGTGAGAGTCGAAGTGAAGGGGGCCAGGGGGAGGGAAAGGAGGGGCACCGACCAAGATCGGGAGGTCAAGGAAAGCTTTCTGGAGAAAGTGACGTTTAACCAAGACCTAATAAAGCAATCACAGCAGCTAATATCTGAAGTATTTAAAAAGTAACCACACAGTTCACAAATCCATAAACCCACAAAAATTGTTTTATCAGCAAGCATAGAAGCAATGATACAACTATCAGACTGGATATAACACCAATGAACTTAAGATTGATGGTATGATTATGCTTTTTCTAAAGTGCCTATTTTTGTCATAAAATTTTTATTTGGCTACACTTTTCTCTCTGTGTGTGGGAGGGGGTTTAATGAAAGAGAGGCTGGAATATGTCATTTGACTTATTATATATCCATGTCAATTCCTTAAAGCCTCCATTATTTTACTGTAAAATATTCCTGTTAACAATACAAAACAATTTACAAATGCCAAAAGGATCTACTGACTTTAAGCATATGTGGGTTACATATGGGTAAGTGAATTTGAGGCTAGGGGACTTTGTGATTTTCTAGATAAAATGCCATTGGGTATAGTGCCACATATCTGATGTCAATTATTTGGATATTTGATTACAAATTATACCTTTGGTTCTATTCTGTAATTTAATTTAAGGAAAAAGTATATATTTTTAAAATTATGTCACTTGAAACCACAGCATATTGGGAGGAATTTATTATTGTCATCTAGATGCATCTGTTTTATTTTTATTGGTGGTAATGTTGTTACTGCTATTGGCTGTAGGTGGCACTAACAGCTGGCTCTGATTTGCTATCACACACATGATTCCTTGTTATTAATCTCTGCGGAGGTGGGAGAGGGTAGTTATGTGGAGAGTATATGAATAGGTTAGTAGAATGACCATCTTCTTCTCCACATGCCATCCCAAACAAGATGGACCACTTAGCATGATGTGCACATTTGATCATGATTTGGCCCCCTATCACATCCCCGACTTCATTTCCTGATGCTGCCTGTCATCTTTTACATCTCTCTCAGATCACATTCTCCATCCAGCAGGTGTGCTCTCTCTGAGTGCTTGATCTTTGTGCATGCTGTTTCTAACACTTTCTCACCCCAAACCTCCTGGGATGCACTTCCTCAAACTTAAAGAAGCCTAAGGAGCTTTATGGTGTGTTCAGACTTCACCCTGCAAAGGCCTTATTACTTATTGGCCATGCCCTTCCAAAGAAGTAATTATTTTGTTCCTCACTTTGTATTTTTGTATTTCATGCAAGTGGATGATGATTCAGTGCCTACAAGTTCCCTCTTAACATTGGAAGGAAGAAGACCAGCTTTAAGTACAGAGCTGACTACGGGTACATCGTGAGCCTTATCTTCCAAAGGAATAACTTTAATCAGTCGGGGCACACACCTGGAAATATGATGCGGAGGTGTTTTTCTCTGTGGATTGCTTAGCACAGAGGTTGCCACACTGTGGCTCACATGTCAAATCCCACTCATTGCCTATGTTTGCAAACAGAGTTTATTGGAACACAGCCATGCCCATTTGTTTATGTATTATCCATATAAGAAAAATCTGTTGTCTCTGAGTGCTAAAGCAGAGAAATTCTGGGAATATTACAGAGCAGAATAGAGAGCAAGAGGAGAGCAGTTTTTGTTGCCTTTAATAAGAGTAACAATGTTGGTAGGCTGCAAGATAAAAGTGTTTGAGATGCTCCCTTCCCCACCTACCCCAGTCTCCCAGGAACTCCTCCCTGTCTGACAAAAGCGATGCAGAGCTTTCAACATGAAACTTGAGGCCAAAAAATATCCTTCTGGTTTCAGATTGGCCTGCAAAGTCGAAACTCTGCCTCAGTCAAAACAAAAGTCAGGGGGTATAAAAAGGAGCGGCTAAAGCCTAACAGGGAAAAAATTATTTTCTGAAACTCAAATGCAGAATTTAGCAAGCACATGTCAGCCAGTTTTCAGACCATCATGTTGTCAAGGGTTGAGCTACTGGCCAAAAGCAACTCACTTTGTTTCCGGGTGTGTCCACTCTGCAGCAGGCCTGTCAGGGCCCTCAGGACCAGCAGTGGGCAGCAATGACCATGTGTCTGGCCCATAGAGTAGAGCAGCTGGGTCAGTTTTAGGGCTTCCTTAGAGCTTGAACCCCACTCAGCTATTCCACCTAGAAGTGCACTCCAGAGCATGGTAGGCCCATGCTTCTCAAAATGTGGTTCCTGACTTCTCTTAGGAACTTAATGGAAATGCAGAATCGCAGGCCCACCCCCTTGATTTACTGAATCAGAGTCTGCATTTTAACAAGATCCTTGGGTGATTTGTATTTACATTAAGATCCTTTATTGTATGAGGGACATAACAGGAAGTATTTGTCTGGCACATCCCATCTCAATATTCAATGGTTCTCTCCTCCCATTATTGATGTATCCCGTTTTAATACTCTCTTTACATCCCCAAAACACATGCACACTCACACACACTCACGGGACTCATTAATCCTTAACTCTCTTTCTAATCCCAAAGGTCTTGACCTTAACAGTTACAGTTGGAAATCCATTTAATAAACAAATCTCAGCCAAGGCTGATGACAGCCAGGATATTACCCTCCCCAGGGGGTATTCACACTCAGCAAAACAAAACACACTTTGTGTATGCCCCAAATGGACTCCGCATTGCTACAATAGTACACATACCAATAGGCTAGGCCAGCAGGAGAGGATATTTTTGGAAAAGTATTTTTTTTTAAATATACTGTTGAATTACAGGAGTCTACAGGCTCTGGTACTCAAATAGCTGCTTGATGAGCTGCCAATCACCCCGACCCTGACCCATTCCCTTTCTGAGTTTTCTATAGTAAGAATCACTGAGCATTTGAACTTCCTGGGAGACTGGGGTAGGTGGGAAGAGAGCACCTCAGACCTTGTTATCTTGCAGCCTTCTAACATTGTTACTCTTCTTTGGGGATAAAAGGCTGCAAAAACTGCTCTCCTCTCACTAATCTCTTTTCTGCTCTGTAATGGTTCCAGAATTTCTCTGCTTTAGCACTCAGAGACAACAGATTTTTCTTCTGTGTTTTCATCTTACTATCTGTCAACAACAATAGCTTGAAATGGCAATGACTCTTGGACAAATCGTGAGAAGTTAACTCCAGTGTTTATATGGCATCTGGTAGTACCACCACAGGCAGAGAAAGCATGTTTGGGAGTGTTTAAGGACGATAACAAATAGAAAAATATGATGGAATGATGACATTATTTTATGGAGTCCCAACTGCATCTTCTACATCATTCACAAAGATGTATGTAAGATTGTGACCAGAATACAAGCTATAATTTGGGGAAACTGGACTCTTCAAGATTTATTGTCTTTCATATTTTACCACAAAGGATAAAAACTCATAAAATTTTAAAAATAACCATCTGCTCAGATCCTAAAATTATATTAGATCCAAGGCTCTTCTATAATATTGGAATTATCATGTGCTTTGTGTATCAGAATGAATGCTCTTCCTTATTACCTTGAAATATTCATTACTTTTGCCCTAGCCGGTTTGGCTCAGTGGATAGAGCACCAGCCTGTGGAACAAAGCATCCTGGGTTTAATTCTGGTCAAGGGTATGTACCTCGGTTGCAGGCTCCTCCCTGGCATGCAAGAGGCAATTAATCGATGTGTTTCTCTTACATCGATGATTCTCTCTGTCTTTCCCTCTCTCATTCACTCTCATTAAAGTCAATGGAAAAATATCCTCGGGCGAGGAATAACAAAAAAAGTATTCATTATTTTCTAATCTTAAAAATAAATATACTTCAAGAAAATGAGAAGATACACTACAGACTGGGAGGAAAATATTTGCAAGAGCACATCTGATAAAGGACTGTTATGCAAAACATATACAAAGAACTCTTAAAACTCAACATTAAGAAAACAAACTATTTGATTAAAAAATGGGCCAAACTTTTGACACTGAACCAAGGAAGATATACAGATGTCAAATAAGCATATGAAAAGGTGCTTCATATCACATGTCACCAGAGAAATGGAAATTAAAAAAATGAAATATCTCTACAGAATGACAAAAATCTAGAACACTGACACCAAACACAGATGAGGATGGGGAGCAACAGAAACTCTTATTCATTGCTGGTGGGAATGCAAAAGGATACAACTACTTTAGAAGACAGTTTGGTGGTTTCTTACAAAACTAAACATACTTTTACCATACAATCCAGCAATTGTGTTTTTTGGTATATAGTAAAGTAATCTAAAACTCATGATGGCATATAAATCTGCATATGAATGTTTATGGTAGCTTTATGCATAGTTGCCAAAAGTTGGAGGCCAACAAGATGTCCTTCAGTAGATGAATGTGGTACAAGCATACAACGAAATAGTATTCAGTGCTAACATAAAAAATTGAGCTATCAAGCCATGAAAAGACATGGAGGAAACCTAAATGCATATTACTAAATGAAAGAAGGCAATCTGAAATGGCTACATACTGTATGAATTTGATATAACATTCCAAAAAAGAAAATCTATAGAAATAGTAAAAAAAGCTCAGTATTTGCCAGGGTTGGTTGGGTGTGGGAGAACAGGGATGAATAGGTGAACCACAGAGGATTTTTAGGGCAGTGAAATGATTGTATATGATACTATAATGATAGGTACACATTATTATACATTTGTCCAAATGCACAGCACCAAGAATGAACCCTAAAATAAGCTATGGACTTTGGATAATTATGATGTGTCAATGTAGGTTTCCCAATTGTACCAAATGCATATTCTGGTATGTGATATTGATAATGAGGGAGAAAATGCATGTGTGTGCGGGGGTGGGGGTGGGGATGTATACCAGTGATGGCAAACCTTTTGAGCTCGGCGTGTCAGCATTTTGAAAAACCCTAACTTAACTCTGGTGCCGTGTCACATACAGAAATTTTTTGATATTTACAACCATAGTAAAACAAAGACTTATATTTTTGATATTTATTTTATATATTTAAATGCCATTTAACAAAGAAAAATCAACCAAAAAAATGAGTTCGCGTGTCACCTCTGACACGCGTGTCATAGGTTTGCCATCACTGGTGTATACAGTAAATCTCTGTACCTCTCTTTTTTTGCTGTGAAGCTGAAACTGCTCTAAAAAATAGTCTTTGAACAAAAACACAAGCACAGTTTTAACATCACAAAATATTTTTTTAAACATATGTCTATGACAGAAATAAGGTTCTCTTTGGAATTTGAGGTTGTTTGGTCTCTAGTTCATGTTGTTAGGTTCTGCAAAAGCTATTGGTAAAACTATGTGAGAACCAGTTACCTTTAATGTTCCAAGACTGCACCCTAACTATACCCAGCCTTCAGTAAAGAAGGTATATTTATTTTTGAAAGAATTAGGCAAAGTTGAATAAGGCTATATATGGATATATATATATATATTATATGGAGAGAGAGAGAGAGAGAGAGAGTTATAAGAGGGATGGGGATGGTGCTACTTTCCCAGTATCAAATAGGCACTTGTTTCTGAACTTGCACTGAGCTATCCATATACCTTTGCTGGTTAAGGATCCCAGGAACCAACCGCCTGCATTTGTAACAGGACTGGGCAGGACCCAAGATGCAGACTGAATCAAAGGGAAACTCTTTTCCTCATCAATTATTCTGGTTTTTATGAGTATGTTATAGACTACAATACTTCTGAAAATAGGAAGGTGGTAAAGATATTAATAGTCCTTCAGAGTTTATTAATGACTTGCAAATCTATTTAAGTTTTATAGGCATTACTTTACTATTATATATGCATATTTGATGGTTGTCATTACAAATTTCTATTTTTATAAGTAATCTGTTGTCACAGTGTTTGTTGAAACATGTGTTCATCTCTTTTATGTGGTAAAATCTTCATTATTTTATCTAGTTAGTCAAATGTTGAAATATGTAGAATGATCCTACATATCAATTTTGTCATAAAAATCTTCTTTGTGCCAGACTCTGCTTCAAATCAGGGGTACTAAAGCAAGATACAGTCCCTATCTTTAAAGTATTTATATCTTATACATGGTTTAGCCATTGTGCTATATGTATTTGAATGTTTTTAGCAATCCAGAAGGAATTTTTGGATTTTTAAAAAATGCTAAATGATCATCTCTCTTGATCATTAATATAGTAGTGTTAATGTCAGTTAGTTAAGAGTTATTATTAATAGAATTTGCAAAGAAAATGTTCTCTATTCACCTGAAATTCTTGAAAAAATTCTTGAGTCAGCTTTTTATTTAAAGAATACTTGTTCAGTAGGGACCCATTTGTCAAAAAATGTTTGCTACTTTGAAATTTAGTAATTTTGAGTTGTGTAGCTAGATTAAAATATCATGGAAATAATGAGTATTCTATTTGCTCCAATTATAAATGCTCTGAACTTATGGCAGTCTTGGCCATCCCTTGTTGACCTTATTAACAGACTACTCACCCAAGGAAAAAGTGATCTTTTCAGATGAGATATTCCACATTTTATTTCCAGGCACTGGAGTCTGAGCCACACACCAGATGGTCAGGTTGTTTGATTGGGCTGGTTCATTGCCATACACCCTTGTGAAAACAGACTTTATGTTCAAAAATCCACTTTTGTCTTTTCTCTCTTCATTTGTAATGTATATTTCTACAAGACGAATAAGAGCAAGATTAGTCACTCACATTGCCAGCATGAGCCATACCGTGATGCCAAGGCCTGGCGGGAGACAGTTTGGTTTACGGTAAAGGAGAGTCAAAAGGTGTCCAATGGCAGTATCTGGGCAGTGAGGGTGTGTTCCAGCAGGCCCAGAATTAACTGGAACTGTTTGCTGAGGCTGCTGCATGACATTGGTCCATGGTCGAGATGTGAAATGAATTAAGAGCAGCAGTTCTCAACCTGTGGGTCGCGACCCCTTTGGCGGTCGAACGACCCTATCACATCCTGCATATCAGATATTTACATTACGATTCATAACAGTAGCAACATTACAGTTATGAAGTAGCAACGAAAATAATTTTATGGTTGGGTCACAACAGGAGGAACTGTATTTAAAGGGCTCGAAGGTTGAGAACCACTGATTAAGAGGATTGTTTGGATTGTAACCAGGGCCCAGGGGAATTTGAGGGCTCTGCTGTGGAATCTGGACACACAGCAGGAATATGCCTAAGTGATCAGGAAACTATAAAATGACCTCAGCTGAAACTCTGAGGTGCTCTGTGCCATATCAGTGGTTCCCCCTTCCACAGGTCCCCTTTACAGAGGGAGGACAAAGGAGCCCATGCCCGACGGCACTGGACCCCTTGTTGCAAATGTACATGTCATGCATATCTTTAATGGTGTTGCTTATTGTTTCCTTTTCCTGCAATAAGCTGCAGATTTATAACCATTGTCATGTTGGGTCCTGTGAGTCTTCTTTAGAAATAAAACCCTATTTAACTGCCACTGTTAGCCCAACTTCCAAACAGCACACATGGCAGCAGGGATTTAATGTAAAACTGTCTGTCATTGTAGGCCATAACTTTCTGAACCCTCACAGCGTCTTTACATTAAAGGCTCTACATGCTAGTTCTGAAGTTATTACTGGCCAAACTCATAACTAAATGTAGTTATATGCTGGTAGAACTCTGACCACACCATCCGGTCTTATAGTTGGGAGTGTAATTATAACTGCACAGGAACTTCATTTCTCTAATATCATTTTCTCCTTAATTCAAGCTAGCCTTGTCCAACCTAATATTGCTATGGCTCACTTGCCTCCTTTCAACCAGATCCTTCTACCTGTGCACATACTGCACGTCCACTCTTCAATCATTAAGCCCTTAGGAAGTTAGGTTCTGGTCAGCATCAGACTTCTGTCTTAAGAACAAAGCCTCAGGTCTGTCAACCATGAGAGCAGAGTTTCTGCTAAACTCAAGATAACATCTTGACCTCAGTTATGTTTTAGCCCCAGGCCCATGAGAACAGAACAACCCTACCACTACCAACCACATCCTCATGAAATCAGACAGGACGACGCCATGCAACATCGGGACCTGATGCAATGATCATCTCCTCCCTTTGCTTTGGCTCTGAGGAATCAGTAGAGCCCAGGACCCCAACTCCCTTAGCCACCTTGACTAATAATTTCCCCCCTATATAATTAATCTATGACCCAGAGGTCATTGGAGAGCCAGGTTTCAGAGTACTGGCTTACCTATGCCTCTGGGCTTGGTGCCAATTCCCTAAATAAACCTTTACTGTACTTTCTTTGCTGCAAACTACCATTCACGTCATATTGGGCTTTGATGAGTAGGCAAACCAACCCCTTTAGTTTGAAGTAACATAATGGACACATCAAACAGGGCTTATTTAACAGGAGAACATATCTGTAATGACATTTAACAGATATTATCAGGATTGCATCCTGTCATTATGGTGGGTGAACTGGTTTTAAAGGGAACTAATAACAAAACCAATAGTAGTTTCAAAATGAATCAAGTGCATTAACACAATGATTCATGAACACCAACTTGTAAGTTCATTATTTAAAAAAAATAATGCAGTAACTGTGTGGTTCAGTTACTGTTGAAAATATGTTGCACGTTGAGGAGAAATGACTCAGGAGAAAGGCTATTGTGCCAGGCAGGGGATGGCTGGGATTGTTCCAGCAAAGGTGGTCATGTTTATTACCTGTGAAAAATATACCTTTGTGTAGTCTCACCTGAGCTTATTTCAATGTGTTCCTGCCCCAGGAACTTTTAATCCTCCCGCTGAGCATGTTCCTTGTCACGGAGCCAAGTTCTCTATGTGCACTTCCTCCAGTGCCCTCCCTCCCCTGCCCCCCACTCCACCCAGGTCCTTGTAAGAAAATGTAGAAATCACTCATTTATTGACTTAAAGCAGTGGTACTAAGTTAATTGAATTATATGAAATTATTACTAAATGTATGCTGAATTAAACTTTTTGCCCTCATCTAAAAGTTCTGCTTTTACTAACGGGGAAATAAAACATTAGTGTTTATATATAAGTTGATGAAGTCAAGTGTATTTCTCACATCCTGGGAAATGATACCCCCATCCTCTTGGAGGAGCCAGATGAGTATCAGAAAGTGGCTTTTAAAGTGGCTGTTTTTTTTGGAATGGGAATTGTCCTTAAATGCCAAGATAAACTTAAGCAACCTCAATTTCTATTGTTCTTTGTTTTCTTTCTTTGCCAAACCCATTTCCATTGAATGATTTCCTTACCTTCTCTTTCACCTTGAGGAAAACTTCTGTCTATAAACCATGTGAGATTTGCTGTAGGAAATACATTCCTCAGTGAGCAGGTAAATGTTCTCTGGGTGTAAATACAAGACACAGGAAGAATTATTTGCAAGTTCAGAAGTAAAGAATACCCCTTACATCTCCACCAACCCTCACAAAAGGCAAATTGGCAGAAAACATTTTCTCCACTTTTAACAATGCCATGTTTTAAGAGGTTGTGTGAAAATTTGAATTACAAATAGACTTTCTCTTTATAAAGATGTTATAAATTAATGGCTAGAATCCAGGACAATACTGGTGTTGCAAATGTGGATTATTGGTTTTGTAAAAGGAAAATCACAGCTCTGCACAGGCAGAATAAAATAATAGTAAATGGAAATGAAAAGATAGAAGGAAGAAGCTCTAACAGGCAGAGGCCAGAGAAGAATATTCTGTTAGAATAAATGCTACACTTTGGTTATTTCCATTCCCCAAATAATATAATGTAGAGAGCGGCCACAGTGTTTAGACAGGTTCAAGCCTTGGACTAATGAGAGGGCACAGTCCTCCCATGGCAAAGCCACGTGCAAGTCCCAGCTTGAAGGGCAAAGCCCTCCCAGCACAATTATAGCCAAAGGCAAAGGCTATAATTGTAAGCTTGCCCTCATGGTCTGAACCTGTGGTCCCAGGTGGCTGCGGGATGTGTAGCAAGTGCTGCCAAAACAAAGCTTGATAGAGTTCAGGTGCATGTAATTGAGTAGATTCGAACCCCCCGAGAACATTGTAAACATCTTGACCACGCCTTTACTTTGTCTCCTGGGATCTGGCTATAAAATAAAGATTCGGCTTGCAGGCTGTGGCACTGTCTCTCCATCTGAGAGCAGCGTCCTACCTAGCCCCAGCTTTATTCTCTTGTCTGTCTTCTTTAATCCTTCCGCCTCCTTCCCCACTCAGGTTTACCCCTGGCCATGCTGAGTGCAGTACAATATAAAATATTATTTGTAGCAGTGGCCACAGAAACCCTTTACTATAAGTATCTCACTTTTTGTTTTTTTTATTTTATTGATTTTTTACAGAGAGGAAGGGAGAGGGATAGAGAGCCAGAAACATCGATCAGCTGCCTCCTGCACACTCCCCACTGGGGATGTGCCCGCAACCAAGGTACATCCCCTTGACCGGAATCGAACCTGGGACCCTTCAGTCCGCAGGCTGATGCTCTATCCACTGAGCCAAACTGGTCAGGCGAAGTATCTCACTTTTGACTTGTAGAGAGTTTTCCTTAATGCATTTTCATTTTATTATATTAACTAGAGGCCCGGTGCACAAAAATTTGTGCACTGGCGGAGGGGGTTCCCTCAGCCCCGCCTGAGCCCTCTCGCAGTCTGGGACCCCTCGGAAGATAACGACATGCTGGCTTAGGCCTGCTCCCGAGTGGCAGAGGGCAGGCCCAATCCCTAGGTGCAGCCCCTGGTCGGACTCAGAGCAGGGCTGATTGGGGAGTTGGGGAGCTGCCCC